ATAAAAAAAAAAAAAAATATTCAATACTTTTAAATTTAATCTTAAAATCAATATGTTTTACTTCATTTATAGTTTGTTTAAAATCAGAAAGTATTTGAAAATGTTCAGGATTTACTGTTAATAAAACTAGACATACATCACAACTATCATCTAAATATGATATATGTGCATGAAAACAACCTCTGAAAAAAAAAAAGAAAAACACACATACCAAAAAATATATTATTCTTGAATTATTTTTCGAAAATATTTACCCCGGATCAAATCGTGGTAAACATACAGGTACCCATGATTCAACACCTTTAAATGCATCTGAACTATTAACAAGATTTATAAGTAAATAAAGATCTGATGGATGTAAATGATAATTTCTTAAACGTGCTATTGTAACAAGATGACCATGAGCAAGTATTACAGCAAATATCATATCCTTAAAAAAAAAAAAAAAACAAAAAAAATATTTTCTCTTTTTGAAATTTTTACTTGTTGTCCTCGTATTGTTTGTACAACTGTTTGTCCAATTTGATTTCGTATATTAACTGGTAAAATTAAACATTTAGCAGATGTTATAAGCATACCTAAATCACGTTCATACATATTAATAATATTATGTAATAATTTTTTTTCAGCATTTGATAACCAACGACGTATATCAAAATTTGGTTGTACAATAAATTTTTGTTTTATACGACTTAATGTTAATGTACTTATTATTTGATGATATACATATGTTAATTGTTGAAGAAGACATATTGAATGTTCATTTGTATATGTTACTAAAACAAATACAAATGGTTCTTTATGTAAAAATGCTATACGAGAACGGCCAGCTTTTAAATAATTTAATTGACTAGATTCTGTTAATTCAGCAAATGAAACAAGTGTTTGCATAACACCCATTAATGTAACTAATTGATCTTCATCACCATATCTAAGATATACAAAAAAAAAAAAAAAAACTGTAAAATAATTTATCATTTAAAGACCTGACCTTGTAAAAACTGGTTTACCATTTTCACTCATAACAAATACATGTTTAACACGACTTTTAAGTAAATTTATATATGATTCATCATCACTATTTTGATTTAAATGTTGTTCATCAATACTATTTGTTGAAATTGAATCAGTTACATTTGTTATTATATCATCATCAATACTTATCTAGATATGACTGATGAAAATAAACGATATAATTTTAAAAAATTTTTAGAATTATTCTTACATTATTTGAAGAATCTATTATTGTTGGTGGTGGTGATGGTGTTGGTGATTCGGATAGAGAACTTTGTCGAATAAAATTAATTAAACCTAATGATGGTTCTTGTTCATCATCAAAAACAGTCGATTCATCAGAATTTTGTATTAAATTTTCATAGGATGGTAAAGATTCTAGATTAGATATTAATTCATCGGGATTATCTAGTCTTCTTGGTATTATAAAATCTAACACAGACATCACTATTATCTAAAACTACATAGAAAATTGTTTAGTTTCTTTTTTTTCTTTTTTGTAAATCTGACATCATTCGAAAAGAAAGAAAAAACCTAAGTCATTTTACGTTTACTTACTTGAATAGAGAGATTTAGTTTGTCTATAATGCATGTTGTGTAATAATTATAGATAATAACAACGAATGAATTCGAAATAAAAATCTTGATAAGAATGAGTAATAAAAAAAACATGGAAATGATAATGTTTATGAGTAAGAATTTTAAAAAAAATTATTTGTACATAATATTTAGTATAATTTTTTCAGATGTCACTTTTACAGAATTATTCATAATTCTAGAATAAGAAAGAAACTCAAGTTTAATAAGAATAAATCTTAATCTACTACAATTTCATCTAATAGATTAATTTATATTCATTTTAAGAAGTTATATTATCATATTTTCTTAAAAAACTTAAAGTATGATATATTTAATTTTCTTGACTTTCTATGTAATTTTTCGTCAATAATTGTCCTCAATATATATATATATGATGCTACCTTATCAGTTAAGTCACAATAGAAAATGATAAGATAAAACATCGCTCGATCACAAAAAAAGAAAAAACGAAGTTAGTATTTAAAAAATTGCATTTTAAATAATTCTTAAACCGACTATGAAAAATTTTCTTTTTGTTAAACTAATTAAACTTATACAAACTTTTTCTTATATCTTTCGATAGTACATAAGAACAAATGAGTTTTATATATATAAAAAAAAAACAAAAACTTGTAAATCATTATTCTCATATTCATGGTAAACGCTCAACCTTGATTGATCTTGGATATAACTCTAATACTTTCTATTACTTATTTTTCTTCCTATAGAATATTTGCATAAAACATTTATAATTAACAAAAATTCATAGTAGAATTCTTTAAAAATGAATTATAATTATAGTGAATGACAAAAAAATAAAACATAAATATTTCTCACTATTCGAAGTATTTTGACGTATTAATTCCATATTTTTTAAACTTTTTTTTTTTTATCGATCAGGTAAGACTCTTTTTTGTCTTTATCAGTTCAGATACGATTCTTGTCTGATCTTCAAGGTAACTGTCATGTGATATCAAGAAATATGGATGCATATCTATGAACGTATTAATATGATTTATTCATTGAACACGACGATAGTTAATAGGTCATTGCATTCAATTTTACTAACAATACAGTACATATACAACCTTTTCACACAATATATTTTACTGAAAGCTAGGTCAATGTTTAATGACAGCATACAATATTGTGAACATTGCCGTATGATGACTCATTTTCATATCTTATCTCTCTGTAGATTATGAAAACTATGCACAATCCTAACTATCATTTCAGGAAAAAGATCTTATTCAGAAATTGTATCAATTGTATATCAATATAAGACAAGTAAAGATATTGAATAGAAAAAATATATATCTTGCTTAATAAGAGAATCAAATTCAAGTTCATCTTAGAAAGTTTCTAAGAAAAACAAATATTATCAAAATCAACAGATCTAATAATAATCAGTTGTAAATAATGAATATGAATTATACTAAAAAATCTCTTTGTCATTCTTTTTATATTTCATCGAAATTGTATGAAATAAAATTTATTTTTGTATTTTGTTAATAGTTTGTAGTAGAAATAAAATAACAACGAAAGAAAATTTGTTTATTGATCTACAATAAAAGCTAGACATTCATCGCAAAAACATATTCAAAGTAAGAATCTTACTTAGGGCATTCCAAAAGTAGTGGCAATGACACTTTAATACTGTATAGTAAGCTTGAAGAAATTTTCTTTTTTTATGTGGTGATAGAGAAAACGATGCTCTATTTTTCTGTGCTATTTGATCACTCTTCCACTAATATCATAATAATAAAATTTCGATAAGAACTGTTTTTGTCTAAAACTTCACTAGCGGGTGAGACAGATTAAATGTTTCAATCACTTAATATGTTGTATTAAAAAACAAAATATACCACAAGATGCAGCGTGAAAAGCTCTACAATTTACGTAAGACCACTTATTTTATAGTTGCACTTTTTGTTTTCAAAATGAACAAAATTTTGAGCGACCAATTTTCAACCGTGCGAAAACGATATTTTTTTGGTACAAGATGAATTCATTTTTTCTCATTTCATCGTTTTGTCACCTAATATCTTTTATTTAGAAAAACAAAATACATCACAAGATGCAGCGTGAAAAGCTCTATAATCTTCAAAGTAAAGGTCATTTTAATTGTGTACTTCTTGTTTTCAAAAAAACGCAAAATTCTGTGCGACCATGTTCACTGCCCCGAAAAAAATCATTTTTTTTCTATCCGAAAAGAAATTCCTTTTTTCTTATTCCATATATGAAATAAACTGTGCTTTGTAAATTGTAGAGCTTTTTTTACGCTGTATCTTGTGGTATATTTTGTTTTTTTAATACAACGTATTAAGGGATTGAAAATTGAAATGCAAAACATAGCCATTAATCTGTCTCACCCGCTAGTGACGCTTTACACAAAAACAGTTCTTATCGAAATTTTATTATTATGATATTAGTGGAAGAGTGATCAAACAGCACAGAAAAATAGAGCATCGTTTTCTCTATCACCACATAAAAAAAAGAAAATTTCTTCAAGCTTACTATACAGTATTAAAGTGTCATTGCCACTACTTTTGGAATGCCCTAAGTACTTCATTAGATGAAATTTAGTCGACACCCAAGATAATCATTATGACAATCTTATTCACACATACTTCTTCTTACTTAAACACTCAAAAACATATATATTTTTTTTTTCGTTTACTTGAAAACAAAAAGATTTATGACGTAGAATGTTCGTTCGATTTAATATTAGTATTAAAAAAAATAAGAATTCTTTATTGAAATGAAATACATACAAATATTGCTTGATAAATTTTATTGAACTTAGAATTAAACTATAGTTATATGCAATTGTGTACTAAATACGTTGTTCATGTTTCCATATATCTGGGATATATTTTGTAGCGTATTTGATCCAAGCATAAGTCTTGTTAGAAAGTCAATATTAGCTTCTTTTTTTTTGTAATTTGTTATGTCTTAATCTATTATTAAATCATTAATATTTACATTCAATTAATCTTTCATATTTGATAGTATTTGTTCATCAGTGTACACATTGTGTGTATGATTCATTGTCTAAAAAAAAAAAGAACATCTTGTAAAGTAACACGCAAAAAAAAAAGAAAAAAGATTGTCAGCTTTTTCATCTTCAAAACAAAAAAAACTCCAAATTAAAAAAACAAATACTTTTTTTTTTTTGCTCAACATATAGTTACAAAAATATCAAAATAGGTAAGCATTAAAAACGTGTACTTAAGAAAATTGTTGTTAGTATGATACTTGACCGATTATTAGTAAAAGAAACATAAGTATTCTTGATAGGATTTTGTTTTTTCTTACTTGCTCTTCTTTTTATGTACAATGGATTATAAAAATGTTTGTTGTGCATAAAACATTTTAAAAAATAAAATCGATTCATTCGTTAAAATATGTATTCAAAACGACAACAATTACCATTGACAATATCTAATTGGATAGACAAAGATGTTAAAGTAAAAAAATTTACACCTAATTTAGGTTCTATGTCAATAGATGCTAGACAAAATGTTATGTTAAGTCGACAATTTTTTTCTAATATGACTAATTTATCATATGAACGTAATCGTAAAATTACTCGATGTGATTTTGAAAAAAATAAATTTCTTAAAAATCAACGAATAAAAGCCGAAACAATTATGCCTGGTCTTTTACCGTATGTAAAATTATTTTTTGAATATTATTTTTAAAATTTAATAAAATATTTATTTAGATATATTGAACCATTAATAAATGATTTATCTCAAGATACATCATCGAAAAGTACATTTAATAAAAATGAACCATTTATAAGTTCATCATTTCAATCACTTACATCATCATCATCATCAAATATTAAATCCGAATTAACATTTTCACGAGAACAATCAATTAAAAAAACTAAAATGCCACAAATAAATACAACAAAATTTTCTAATCGACAACAAAAATCATCTGAACGAATATATGGTTTAAGTCAAATAACAAATAATCATCGTAATTCAATAAAACAAAATCATGTTCGTTCAAATACTCTTGTACCATTAACTGTTCATGATCTATTTGGTGATTTCAATGATGATTCTAGTTATGAATCTTTTTTTCCTGAAAAACCTAAAAGTGCAGCAAAAGATCGACGTTTTGATCGATTAATTCATTTATTTTCGGATGTATATGAATATAAATCAAAAAATTATCGAACAGTTAAAAGTATAATTCAATCAAATCCAGCTTTACAAAATGATAAAAAACAACAACAACAACAACCAATATCAGATTCAGTTGAAATTAAAAATCATCAACAAATACTTCCTGATGAATCTTATAGTAAAACAGACATGGATTTAATGGATGTAGTTGCATAATATATATTTATATATAATATTTATTTTGTTATGAGAAATTAAATATTCTAGAAACAAAAAAAAAAAGATTTTGATCAATTATAAGATAAAATAAAATAAAAAAACTCATTGTATCATTTTGATTTAATGAATAATAATAATCAATTCAAAAGAAAACAAATTATCTGTTTAGTATAATTTATTTTTTTAGAATAAATTTTAAAGAGAAAATAGGAAGCAAACAAAAATGCATGACACAATAACAAAATTTATTATTGTGTTGGAAAAATATATTTCCGTTTAGAGTATTATTGTAAAAAGATCAAGGCATTGAAACGGTATTCTTATCTATTCGTATTGAATATAAATTAATAGTAAGCGTATACTCGTCATTTTGAATAGAAGAAAGAAAGTTAGTGGAAAAGAATGACTCATCTTGTGGGATTTCAAGGGTTCCCCATTCTCTGAAATGAAGAGAAGGCCTGTCCCATCTTATCAGCTACTATATATTTACTTAATCTGCTATTTCATTTAACAAAAAATTTGGGTTACTCTTAAATACGATTTCATACTATTGTTAATATAAAGTATCCTATTCATTCTATTTGAACATTTGCACAGTAGATTCATTTCTCTTACTTTTTCTTCCAGTTATTTATTTTTGGTTCTGTTACAATCTGTAATCTTCTTTCTGTGCTTTTTTCGATAGTTATTTACGAATTACTATACATGTCTATTATTAAATCTTCGTTCACAATATCAATAAAGTATTTTCATAGTAAAAAATTTCAACTTTTATTTTTAATCTTTTTCAAACTATAATTATTCGAATACTTTTTTTCGTTGTAGATTAATCGAAAAAAGAAATATTTATCTAGTCTTAGATATTCATTTTAAGAAAATATTTCTAAAATGGCGTCAATTGAAGAAATAGAACACGAACATATTTGTCAATTTGAATCAATACATTATCAAATTCATAATATAACATTACAAAACAGTTGTAAATCATTGTATGCACGAGGTTTTGACGATATAACAATCGATACAACAAGTATAGAAAATATTACAGATGTTTCATTTACAAAATGAAACTTACTTAGATTTTTTTTCCTAATATTAAAAATTATCTTAGATAATCAATCATATAGCAATACAAGTGATATTATAGATTTTAACAATATATAATTAGAAAAAAAAAGAATGAAATGATTCATTTATTATTTTCAAAAAACAAAAGACTAATATTAATCTTTTTTTTTTAAAGTTCAGATTGTAATATGTGATCAAATTTCTTTTTCTGTACAAATAAATCCTGTTTTGTTTTTTTTTAGTTTTCGTTGCATTTAATAAAAAAACAAAAACAAAAAGGAAACAAACTATCTTAAGATAATTAATTAGATCGATCATATGTATCGCAATATATATATTTTTTTTTCTTTACGACAAAAAAAAAAAGAAAGATACGTTAACATAAGATAAAAACAACAATAACAAACGTCTATCAATCATTCCGGATGTTGTTACATAGATATATTGCACGATTATTTTGTATATTTACCCCAAATATGTAACATGAATACACTTGCAATAAAAATTAAACTCATAACAAGTACAGGTACAGGACCAACCTTAAGACCTGGTGAATCTTCTGTATAAAAACGCCAAACACCAGCACTTGCACCACCACCAGCACCTGGTCGACTACGAGCTGGTGCAGTTGCTTTACGTTGACGAACACCGGCACCACTACCTGTTGCTCGTGGTCCTGATGATTTACCTGTATCGCCTTTACCAACCTAGAAAAAAAAAACTCGCATGTATAATATACATATTGAAATAAAATAAAAAAGAGAAATGTCTAAACGAAATACATACGCTTGTTCCACTAGGTGAAGCTGGCATGATTAGTTAAAAGAAATAAATAAATGATTTGAAAGAAATGCTAACAAAACAGATCGATTAAATGGGCAGAGCGTTGAGAAAATATGGATGTGAAAAACACGTACACGTGTGTATTTTGATTGAAAACCAATCGGATAAACGAATGTATGCGTGTCATAGAGAAAAAAGAGGTCACTAACAAAAAAAAATAATACAAAAAAAAACCGCATGTCGCTAGTTATTTTACTTTTTGAAATTAATAATAGATGGTGTTGATATACATATTTTTTTTTTCTATTTCATATATTTTATTTTGTAATGTGATTAAAATGAAGGATAATTAATCAAGGATCAATTTCTGTTTTTTTTTAAAATGTATTTTCAATAATAAAATCATCAAAACGCTTGATAAGAATATGGCTGTATCATTTTATTAAGAAGTTTAGTTTTCTTCGGTTTCATATCAAAATTCGGAAACAAAGAGCTTTGTAAATGAATCCCTGAAGTATATTTTTTTTTGTCTGATTTGAACGAATCTGAACGTTTGGGTACGATCTTCAATGCAATCATTTTTAGTCAATTAATAAAAGAAAGAAAAAGTAAGCTAAAAGAGAGCATTTCAGGCTTGGTTATAGTATACTCAAGCCCAAACGTTGAGCCAGACTTCGATTTCAACAATAAGTTATTCAATTATTTGTTCATTGAGAGTTAAAACTTTTGAAGAAATTTGTTTTTTGTTGTGTTGCCAGTGAAAAGATTTATTTATTTTCGTATATAGCAATAAACCTATAGTAATCAGATTGTGAATCAATTGTTTTGAAAATTGGTCGAAGCTGAATGTTGTTGACTAATAATTTCCACAATTTCAAGAGAAATCATTGCCATATTAATGAAAACCTGATGATAAAAAATGCAAGTCTAAATGCGAATAAACTACGAGAAGACTATCGAATTTTTACCATATTTCATTGATATTCGAGAAGTTAGTTCCGATTTCATAATGCTTACTGATTATCATGAAAAAGAGCTTTCTTCATCAGATGAAAAATCTTTTTCGATCATGTTTTATATTCGTTCAATAAAAATAAAGCCTACTAGAGCTTTCTAACGAGAACGCATGCTAGTAATCGATACATATTAAAGAAGGAACTAAAATCCGATCTTCTTCCTAAAGCAGAAAATAAAATAAGCAGTTGCTGTATGATTTTATAGAGAATTAATCAAGGAACCTTGTGAAATTAACAAGGAAATCCACTTAGATTTTCGCTTTACATTTGACTAAGTATCAAATTTTTATACCTTAAGACAGCTCAAGTAGACTAACTTCCATATAAGCTTTAAACAAAGTCTTCTTGAGATATGAAACTTTCAAAAAATGCATGTTACATACACAATCCATGGAGCAGGATCTATGTCTTGTAAAACTCTTGTCGGGAAGAGACTTCCTTTAAAATTATTGAATTTTTTTATGGAAACTAGTCTAATTGAGTTCTCTGTATGCGCATTGTTTCAGCCCAATATTTGAAGATACGATCTTTCTGAAAAATTGGATAGTGTAATCTAATCTTAATAGAAATGCAAATCCTTCCAGGAATTTTTCTAGAACACTATGTAATACATATATAGGCAAAACATCATTGAAATCGGAAGAAAAAATTTGAGACATTTTCCTTGTTTGTGCATGTTTATCCAATGAAACATGAGTGAGATAAATAAGTATGGAAACATTCTTTTATGATTCACTAGTTTTTCCTTTGCAACGAAAAATTTATTATGTTCATTCGGCTCATATTTATTGAGACAAAAAAACAAACGACAAATACAGAAATTTATGTATAGAATAAAAATAATAGTCACTGCATAGCAGGTGTTGGTAATTTTGCGTCTAATTGTACACCTGATCCAGAATATCCTTAAATAAACAGAAATGAGATTCAATATTTATTCCTTTTTTTTTTTTGAAAATATTTCTTACCAGTACCACCACGTTGCATTGGAATAATATCATTATCAGTTAATTTGTCACCTGTTATAGGATCAATCATATCTAATTTAATTAATCGATTAATACAATCCATTGTAACAACATAACCGGATGTACGTAAAACTGCACAAGGTACAGAATTACCAAGTAAATCACCAGTTACAGCACAAACATATCGATCACGTACAGCAACTAATGGTCGTTTTTTAGGATCAACATCACCAGCTAATTTAAATTTAACATCAATTAAATCTTTCATTGTTATTGGTTTGCCTGATATAGGACAATAAACATGTTGATCAGGTTTTTTTAATTCAGCTTTTTTTGCAGCTGGTGTTAATGATGGAATCCAAAAACTAGGTAATTGTGTTGCTTGATTTCCGTTCATATTACTTAAATTTGATGATGATGATGATGATGCTGGTATTTCATCATCATTATTATCATTTGTTGATATTCGTGTTGATGTTGATGATTTAGGTGTTGCTGATGATGTTGAAAGAAGCGATGATTTTGGTGTTGTAAGAAATGATGATAATGGTTGATCTTGATGTTTAGATGAAAGAAGAGTTTTAACTGATTGATTAACAGAATATGTTGCTTCTTTTTCTAAAAATTTATTTAACTTTTTTTGATGATCATTAGCATTTTGTTCATCAATTTCTTGTTGTTTACGTTCAAGTTGTTTTTGATATTCACGCATTTTACGAGCATTAAGCTTTTTTTGATGAACTATATATTCTAAATTAGTGAAAAGAAAAAAAAAATCTAATTGAATGACATATTGATAAGAATAACATAAATGTTAAGATCTTTTTTTTTTTTGTTTTCTATAATGTCAAATTTCACGATAAAGAATTCTCAATTTGAAGAATATATTTTCAGTTACAAATTTCAAAGATTCAGTTTTACAATGTGAAATATTCCAAGTCAAGGATTGTGAGAAAGTTAATATTGGTCGATATGAATAGTAGTTGAAAAATTTATGGTAATAAAACAAAAGCGTTTTTTTGCACATGACTTTCAAATGAATGGAGAATTTTAAAAAAAATTACAGCTTAGAAATGATGGGTAATTCTTATAATTGTATTAGTTACAGCTTATAAAACAAAAGTAAACGGCTGCTACTTTTCGAAACCTGATTAGTTTTACCAGGTTGAAATAAACAAAATTAATGTTATGTCGTCAAAGCTTTCATTTTTTTTCGAAAAAAAAAGAATTCGAGATTCTGGAAATATTTCCAAATGTTCACTCAATACTACTTAATCATTTGTTTCCAACAAACTTGAACACTTAATAATGAACTTTTGACTACTTGTTTTTTTTTATACTGACTGTTAGTTTAGTTCATATCTTACGTTGATCAGAGAAACATGTGTTTCTTGATAACCATTTTTAGTTTACTCGTATTGCATTATGCCTTTTTTTTATGTTACTATACATTTCTCGATTACGATTTGTATGGACCTATGTCTATAGACCTAAGAATTTCAGTACCCAGGGTCATCGATTCCCAGCTTGACGAATCCGACTAATGATTGAAGCTTCGAAGCAGAATTTCAGTAATTAGCTCTGATAATCAAAAGTGAAAAAATCTAATCACTAAATTCTTGCTTCCAAGTTCCTATCACTGTCTGATCTTTTTCAGTGATAGTTCATTCACATGAAAGGGCAACGTTTGAAGAACAAATCCTAATGTCGCAGAGATTTATCTATGTTGTTCTTTCAAACTAAAACATTTACTAAATTTTGTATCTCACACAGTAACTGAACAACTCGTTACAAGTGTTTGATATGAGTGACGAGTTTTTGTATACCCTTAACTCATATGATGAATTGTCCTACCATCTCTTACAAAAGATCTAAATATTCATTCGAACATTTCTGTTAATTGAACAGAAAATGATTTTTTGTTTTGCTTTCAATAGAATTATATAATTGTAGAAATTTTCTTACCAAGTATAGCTTGTTTATCAAATAAATATCCATCTTTTGTAATAACTGGATCTATACATGGTTGTAATGTTAAATTACAACAATCAAATTCTTTAATAGCATCTTTGCTAAGACGCATTTGTGTTGTACCATAACCACCTGTTGATGAATCTTTGTGTTTTTCATGATAAGTATAAACAGCATTAGCTGTTGAATTTTTTGAATGACGTGTCATCTGAAAACTAAATCAAATCAAATATATATAAATATACACGCACAAGAATATATATATATGTATATATATACAAATAAACGCTAATCTTTATTTTTGTTCTAATGAAAAGGATTTGATGATAATACAGTATTTACAAATGACGGTTGTTGATGAATAGTTTTTATTATATTTGTTTCATTTATTCGTTGTTTTGGTTGATTTGATGGTAATTGTAATAATGTATTAAGTATACTTGTTGTTGATGTTGGTGGTGGTATTGTTTGTTTATTTTGTTTTTTATTAGTTGATTTAATAGGACGTTTTTCTTTATCAGGTGCCCATTCCATATCATCAATAGGTGGTAAATTTTTAGTTCGATGACGTCCTCGTTTTGTTGTAGTAGTTGTATTGGATGAATTCGTTGTTATTGTTCCTGTTGAACGATCATTTTCTAATAAATTTGTTAAAGTTGAACCTTTACGTTTTCGTGTTGATGTTGATGTTGGAAGAATAGTATTTAGAAAAATTGAATTTGGATCTTGTTCAGGTGGAATTGTTAAAGTTGTTGATGTAATATCATTAGAATTTAAACCCGTATAAAGAAAAGGTTCTTCTAAATAAAAAATTTACTTGTATAAATCTTACAAAATTAAAATATGAAATGTCATGATCTATGGTAGAGGTGTATAAGAACACATTTCGGCTCCTTTGATTTTCAAAGTCCAATCTAATTGATTAATATATAGAATAGAAGATGACGAGTTTCTGATTAGTCTCATTTTCAAATCGAAGCATTTTGCTTCATTTTCACGATATACGAAATGAGTAATTATTTGTTGATGCTAACTCTTAATGTCAGTATTCACTATTTAAATAGTCCATTATTCACAATACATTTTTATAATAAACCCATTCACTTAAAATAATATCTTGAATCTACTAGATCGTATAAAAATCTTCAATTGCTTACATCATAAGTCTGAATTACTCATGTGCATTTTCTTTGTCGTTTAGTTATATATTATTGATAATATCTTCTTCATAATTGGTTAATTCGCAATCGGTAGATAATTTCAAACGCTACGAAATGAACTAATTTGAACAGTCTATAAAAGTGAACTACTTAACAAAATCCTTAGTCAACTATATCTGTGGTGCAGTTTTTAGTTTTTCCGAATGATAGTTGATAACTGTCAAACAGAATAATATCCATTTGACTTTAAACAAAAATCATATTTGGAATTAAACTTCTGTAGTTTTCAAATTTTTTCTGCAATGTTCTTTCTTCGGTCCAATATTCATCTATAGTTTCCCTTGGAGATCAGTAGAAAAATGTCTATGATCAAAGCACTTATAATATTGTTTAGTCAAACCAATTTTCGCTTTGTAGTAGCGTTTTACAAGCTCAGAACTTGCTTTCCGTTGTTTCGAAGTTTTCTACTACTTTAAAAGTTCTATCAAACCGAATCTGAACAAACTTTAGAGGGTGTTTCATTAAGATAGTAATTAGCCGACAACTGTAATGCATATGTGCAATACTCAGTTCATAATACTAGGGACGTACCGAGACCGAGAGCTCGGTCTCGGTGCGTCTCGGCTCAGTCTTGGTCCGTCTCGGTCTCGGTCGAGAGCCTCGGTCTTGGCTAGCCTCAACCTTGGTATTGAGTAGTGCCGGTCTCGATTATGCTTAATCTCGATCATTTCTTTATCAGAGATAAGTGTGCTACTCTGTCTCGGGCGAAATTATATTTCTTTAAGCTTTTCGGCTGAGATTGACCGAGACCGAGTCTCGGTTCAGTCTCGGTCTCGGTACATCCCTACATAATACAAACAGTAGAAGATTTGCATTTCGTAAAGCTAGACTCGTTGTTCACAACTATAATAGATTACAATGGTCATTTATGTCCCTCCATTCTTTCTAACTACGTTATATTATGTTAGTCGATTTTTCTTTCTTCTATGTACCTGAATCTTCTATATATGATAATGTAGTAGAAGGAACATGTTCGGTTTTTTTCTTTTTATTTTCATCATCGACTTCTTCAAATGGTGTTCGATTTGATCTTGGTGATATTATTATAATAAAATCAAGAATTTCTTCCTAGAAAAAAAAAAAGTTTTTTTTTCTCTAATGATTAATTTTGTATGTAGATCAAAAATACCATAATTAATTTATCAATTAATTGTTGTGTTAAACGAAAACGATATTTTCCATTTTCAGACATATATAATTTATCATCACATTGACCTAGTTCAATTAAACCATTACGAGATTTAAGTCGTTGACGATAATGATCAATTTGATTTGTATATTGTTTTTCACCGGTTATAAATAATATAGATGCATTTATTTGAGTAAAATCATTCTAATGTTAAAGTCAACAGATTTAATTTTTTTTTTGACATAAAATTTATATTTTTACTTTTGTTTCTTCAGATAAAGCTTCGAATGGTGGAGACATACAAATGACAGATGAAACAGAACAAACAAGTGCAGCTTTAAGTGCAAGAATACAACCAACATTCCAACCAAGAAACATAATATGATGATTTGGATAGAGTTGACGAATCTTTAAAAAAAAAAATAAGAATTTATGAATTAAAATTTCAAGAATATATTTCTAGTAAGCAAAGTTTTAGAAATTCAGTTCTATGCGAATGTTTTTCTTGTCTAGTATTATATTTTGCATTTTCTTATAGAGCTCGTCATATTCAAAATCAATTGGGCAGGCTTCACTTTTTTAGGAATCATGGTAAATATCAGTTTATGCTAGATATCAAAACTGAGTAATATAATCGTATGTTATTGAATTTTTAGAATATAATGAGAAAATTTCAATCTGAAATAGATCTCATGGCCTTCATATAGAATATTTTACTAAAAATCAATGATTTTGAAATTCTCTTCCATTGAGATAGACGCACCCATTTTTATTGAAATTTTTAGCATATGATAAAGATCATGAAGAGTATTTTCGAGTAAAATTTCAACCAAGAATTCTTTAATTCAATTTTCATCTATGCAACTAAGAATCAGCAAAATATGAGTTCGAACAGACTTTTTGATATGTTTGTATCGCATAATTGAACATAGTTAATGTTAATTTGATTACGAAGTCAACAAGAAGAAACTTAATTTTTTCATGCACAGTTTTTTTCTTAATAGACAACTATTATATATAATTAATATGCTCTTTGTAAACTGTTGTTTCGAAAGCAAACCATCTTACACTTCAGTTGTGCTTGATGATCATTAAACATTTATTTTAGTATTCTCTTTCTGTCGTTTTGTTTCAACTATTGATTTCTCAGTATTGTCTTCACACTATGAATAGTAATTAGAATATTCACAATAAGATTATCTACTCTATCGCTCCTAGAACAATGTACAATATGAATATTCGCAAATAATGTTTTAAATATAGTACGAATTCTAGAAATGAATATCGAAAGGTATGAAGACGTTTATCTACCATACGATCAATGTATCGAAATCTCTAGACACTCTAAAACATGTTCAGAAATACTGGAAACTTAAGGTTCTTTCACGATTGCTCACATACCTCAAGAAATGCTGCAATAATTTCAATTGATTGGATAGTTTCCGAATCTAAACCAGAGTTGATATTCAGTACATGTCTAATTACTACAATGTTATTGTAAACCCTTCAGAATAATTTACCTATAAAACCAGGATTTTTTCTAACAAAAACTAATCATTTTTCTTTAAAAAATCAATTCTATAGATTTTCAAAAAGCTGTAGCTATGTAAAATTTTTCTTTCGGATAATCTTTTATTCTGGGAGAAGGACGAAGGTCATACAAAAAAAAAAGGCATTTAAATGAAAGAACTATCATTTAATTTACTTCATTAAATTTCGTAATAATATCTTCATAAGCTGTTTGAATTTGTAATTGTTCTGATTTATTATCTTTTTCAATCATTGTTGAAAGCATAACTATTGCTACTTGAGAAAGATTTCTTTGCCAAAATTGAATACGTTCCATATGACTACCATATATTAAACCAGGAATTAAAAGACAAACAATTGGTATTGGTAATGAAGACTAAATACCAAAAAAAAAAAAAAAAGATAAAATAAAATTTTTTTTTTAAAAACTACCAAAGTTATACTATAAATAACTTCTTCAGTAAGATCATTTGGTTTTTGAAGTAATTTATTATAAACATATGAATTAAGATCTGTTGTTGTTGTTGAATATGATTTCATTTTTTCAATAAATAATGAACGAATATTAGGATACTAAATCTGATATGATGAAAACAAAATTTATTTAAATATTTATAAGATTTTCAAACCTCATCATAAAGTATTTGAAATAAATCTACATAATGACCAATTGATATTCGATCAAATGTTTTACATATATATTCATGAAGCCAATCAAGTAAATTTTTATACTAAATAAAATATTAAAGAAACTTCATTGTTTTTTTTTGTATATTAATTATTTTAATCATTTACATTTGAATGAAGAGTAAGAAGTGAATAAAGTTTTGCTACAATATGATGTATTGATAAACGCCAATAGACAACATTGCAATTATTCTAAAAAAAAAAACAAATCGAACGTTTTTATTTTCTGTAATATAATTAAATAATATTTATTTAATTATACTGATTCACAACATAATGAAGCAATATGTGTTTCATTAATTAATTCACAAATATCTTGAATAAATATTTGTTGTTCTTGTGTAAGATTTTCATTAGTTTGTTGTAAACATTCAAATATATCGGGTATAATTGTATTAATTGTTGGTGTCCAATTAATATTTTTAATATTTTCATTAATTAATTTTTGATTATCATCAATATCGATAATTGAATCATTTCTAGAGAGATTTTTACAGGATGTTTAAAAAAAAATTAGAAAATAAATACATACATTGAAGTTGAATTTAAAAAAAGTTGAACTCGTGGAAGTGCAGTTGATATTGTTGGATCATCTATCCATGGTCGACAATAACTATGATCAGGTCGAGTTTCTATAGTTAAAAGAAAAAAAATTTATTGAAAAACATAGAAATTGAATTGATGAATTTCGTTTTATTACAAAGAAATTTTAATGAATAAAATTAGTATTTTATGCAGTATGAGCCTTCTACATGGATTTTTATGAAATGAAAAGTAGCTTTGAGGATATAGATATCCGTCTTAGACTTTTCAATATCGCTATAAATTAGTTTTGATTTTAATCGTATAATTTGCATAAGTATCAATAATAAATAAATACTTGTAAAAGCGGCAGAAAAAAGAAAAGATAGACTTCGAAATGAAAATCATACGGCCATCCTTAGTTATTTTACGACATCTTTCTCAATATGCAAATTAGAGGTACAGAAAATCTACCTGTGTACGCGTACGGGGGAATTTTCAAAAATGTATTAGAAAATTGGTTCAACTTTACAAACGAGTCTTAATTACAGCTGGAGAAATTTTTCATTTTAGCGGTAGACTCTGCACCTCTGATGTAAATAATCATTCATAAAAATTTTACTCTACTTGAATAGTGCATTATTTTAATTCTCTATAATATCAATTAATTTGATTTGCAATCATTTAAACATACCTTTTATAGTTTCATTAGAATAAAATGGTGCTTGATTTAAACATGCATCATATAGATTTTTATATGTCGGTGAAATCCATTGACGAAAACGCATATTTATATCTAAAATTAATCATTTATGTGTGTTATTTTTTCGTACATATCCTTATTATATATATATATTAAATAAGTTTTTTTTCGTTTTTATTTGTTTTGTTAACAATAAAGATAAATTAACAATCCTATCAATAATAAAACAAACGAAGACAATTTTTTTATCAATTATAAAAATAATATTGAAAAAAACCAAAAATGATTTATGTTCCTTTGCCTAGTTCAAATTTTTTATGTAGAAGACAACTACCTCGATAAATGAAAGCATCAATTAAACTTGAAACAGTAAAAACACCGCCCTACAAATAAATAAAATAATATTATGTAAAAAATATTTTGTTTTTTTTGTTTTTGATCTACTAACAATAATTGCACATAATGATGTTAAAAAATGTGCTAATGAACGTTTTTGTTCAATAAATTTAACCATAATTGCACTTATTTCATAAGTAAAAAATATTCCTGGTATTTGATGATCAGATGAATCAAATATATTTTTAATAATTTTTTTATGTTTTGTAACTGAATATTGATTTGTTATTAATTGTGTTTGATTTAAAAAAACATATGTTGATGGTACAACTTTAACATAATAATGATAAAGTACAGCACCATTATCTTTTAAATTAACAATTTGTTTTGTATTTGATAATGGATTTATTTGTTTTGGAAAATATTGTCCAAATGATAATTCATCAATATAATGTGTTGTATTAAGCATATTTAAACGTACATTTCGTAATGAATGTACATGTATATGATGTTGTTCAAATGATTGACCAGGTGCTATATGAAAATTTCCAGATACTTTATTTACTTCTAAATAACCATGTAAACGACAACCTTCATTTATTTGTGTTGAACTATCATCATTATTTGAATTAATTATATCAATGTTTTTACCTTCACGAATACATTGATGAATACCAGCTAAATATATATAGTGTTATTTTTTTTTTTATTGAGATATGAAATCAATTAGTATAAAATATAAGTTTGAAACTCATGCATTCGATAAACTCAAATAAAAAAAAAAGTTAGAAAATAAATTATTAATTAACATCATAACATAACTACACATACTCGTAAAGAATATAATATCATTTCGATTGGAAATATTGATCTAATTTCTAAAGATAGAACCCTAATCAGTTATCAATAGAGATATACAGAAGGAGAACTATGCGAAAATAATTATCTCAATTTGAACGAAAGGTTATTGTTAAATATTCTATGGTTGTGATCGACACTGATGGGAAAAAATTATCAAAATAATGACCTACATATCTCTGATTTTGAATATTCTGAAGAGAGTTTGTACTACTACCGAGATCTTCCTCTAGAAAACCTTATTGTCAAAATTTCAGATATTTTGATTACTTCTATTCTGGAATAAGAATATCTGAACCTACCAAACATGATCTTATCATAGTCATACTTATATTCCGATAGGAATAGAGAGTCGAAATCTTCTGACTAGACGCAAGTTTACCTCATAAGACAGCCTCAATACTCAATAGAATTCTGTCTTTCCTGGAAGTAAATTTCGATCCGATTAATTTTTTGTTTTTTACTAATCTATCCAAGACAAAAAAAAAGAACAGAATAATTTCTACAATCACTAACAAGATCTTTTTTCTTTCATCCTAAAAATCTTCTTTGAACTTCTCTATTATTATTACACTTTTATTCTTTTAAGAAAAATTATATATATATAATTATTTACATGGATCAAATGACCATCCTTTAATTCTATATGCTGCTTTAACATCATCACATGTCGGACAACATTGATGTACAGCTGATTCAGCACCATAACAAGATTCACATTGAGAAGTTGTTGTTGTTATATTTTTATTATCATCATTTAATTTTGGTAATGGTTTTAATGAAACTTTAATAATATCATTTTCAATTATATTTCCATTTAAATCTAATCGTGTTTTATATAAATTATGTGATACATCTGTTTGTGAATCACCTGATATATCCATAGCATCAACAGTTAAATAACTACATGGTAAAATAGGAAATTTAATATCAATTGTTATATTCATTTTTTCTTGTCGACTTGTATCAACAAATAAAACTTGTATTATATCTATTGTTAAATAATATTTTAATTCAATTATTATTAATAAAAATATTATAATTGAACTAATTATTGTAACAAATCCACCACTTGTTGTACGTATACGAAAGTCTTCAAGTGTTTTAGCATATGCATCAAAACGTTTTAATTGTCCTGACATTGTTTCTGTCATATTGATGAAATATATAATTTACATACAACAAACACAAACACAAAAAAAGAAGAACCAATATATTCATTCATTCTTCATTTTTATTTATTCATTGGTTATTTTATTTAACGAATGAAAAAAAATCCATATTCAACCATCTTATTAATTGGTTGCTTATGAGCCCTTTTCCATTTCTTACAAAGGCAAGAGAGAAGTGTATAGATCCTTATTGATTGTTATTAAAAATTTAAGACAGATAAAAAACAACACAAAAACATATTCATATACACATGGATAATGAAGTATTAATTACAAATCAACCGATTGTTATTGATAATGGTTCAGGAATGATTAAAGCCGGTTTTGCCGGTGATCCAGTACCAAAAATAAATTTTCCAAATTATGTTGGTCGTCCAAAACATGTACGTGTTATGGCTGGTGGTTTAGAAGGTGATATATTTATAGGACCTAAAGCTGAAGAATATCGTGGACTTTTACATATTGCACATCCAATGGAACATGGTATTGTACAAGATTGGAATGATATGGAAAAAATTTGGACATATATTTATTCAAAAGATCAATTAAGATCAGCATCGGAAGAAGTAAAATGCAAACGAAAAACAAATTAATTTTTAATGAAATTTATGTTTTGTTTTTTTTTGTGTGTGTGTTTAGCATCCAGTTTTATTAACAGAAGCTCCATTAAATCCAAGAAAAAATCGTGAAAAAGCAGCAGAAATTTTTTTTGAAACATTTAATGTTCCTGCTTTATTTATTTCAATGCAAGCTATACTTAGTTTGTATGTTTAAATGAATTTTTCTATTTTAATTATAATTAATGATCTGTTTTTATTTTTTTATTTTATTTAGATATGCAAGTGGAAGAACAACGGGTGTTGTACTTGATTCAGGAGATGGTGTTACACATGCTGTACCTATTTATGAAGGTAGATTAAAATTTTAAATGTAATTATTTATTAAATGATATTGAAGAGAAATCATGTTTTTATGAATCATCCATTCGAAGAAAGGTTATATGAGATTGAATTTTCAGATAAGATATCCTTCTATTGGATATGAAAATTGTTGTGAAGTAAAAAATAGATGTCATATCAGAAAAAAAACCAGATGTAATCGCAAGGGATTTATCGAATGCATTTGTCTAATAAGCAGTACATGTTTGAAGCGAATATTTTAATTTCTATTTCTCTTCGTACCAAAAAACAAAGAATAACACAATTTAATAGATTCAATTTTATTCAAATAAAAACTAGAATTATAAAACTTTTAGAAATCTCGTTTAATGTAGGACAATATAAAACAAATCTTTTGATTAATTATGTAATATATATAGAAGCTATGAAAACTATTCAACCAAATTTATTTTCAGTTTTTTTTCCGCTGTCTTAAACACAAGCAATAGTTCAAAAGAGTGATTTGCATAGTAAATATTACGTTCAATAGAAAAGTGAAAATGACTACTAAATTTCTACTGACAAAATCATAAAAATTCTCCTTTTTTTTTTAATATTTTGAATACAATACATAGAACTTTCATCGTTTCGTAAAATTTCTAGAAAACATTAAAGACGTCTTATTTGGTGATTTGGTCGTTCAGAAAGTTTGTTAGTTTTAAGACAATAGAATGAAATTTTTCAATGAAGTTGAGTTACATAATTGTCATAATCATTTTATTCATATGAATATTTCAAACTTGAACGATATTCATCATTATAATATGATTAAATAAAAATATAAGAATAAAAAAAATTGAAGTAAAAAACAAGTTCTATATGAACTAGATAAGTATTTATCAAAAAAATCAACTGGCCTTAACTTGCCAGAATAATCGACTAAGTTATTCGATCTTCTTATGAGCAAAACATTAGATCGAAATCTCATTATTTAATTTTTCAATAAAATTCAACACTGAAAGTATTACCAAATGTAATGCCGAACAAATTTTTATTTCTTATAAAAACAACTTGAAGAAACTTTTTCTTCATACGTATTGATAGTAAAAATGATGCTCTATGCATCTACGATATTGCATCATTCTTCAACTAATATCGTAATAATAAAATTTCAATAAGACATGTCTGGTTATGATGTATAACGGTTACATTAGTTCATATTGTCTTTTTGATTTCTTATTGTCTCGTCTAATGGGTAGCTGTCTATATATATCTGTTAAGGTATACAAAAAGGTTGTGATGAAATAAAAATGCAATACAGAAACAAGTAGTTCATCCTTTTTTTTGTGAAAATCTTATTGATCTCTACAAAATGATTTAAATAATCTTACAGTTGTTATAACAGAAAGAGTTTCATCACGATAAATATAGCACAAAACTCTTGTTTAAATCTGAAATGCAGTACGTACTTTAATGTAGAAACAAACATTTTTCATTATTGATGTAAAACAAAGATGAACAGTGTCAAGATTTAACCTTATTTCTTTCATTTTTATTGAGAACATCGTAATAAACTACAGATGTAAATAAGACATACGTATATATCTATATAAAGGTATGTAGACTATTAGACATTAAAAGGGACGAGAAAAAAGAATAAAGAGAGAGAGAAGACAATGTGAACTGATGTAATCATTACATATTAAAACCAGACAGGTTCTCTATTGAAATTTTTTATTATTTTGATATTAGATGAAGAATGATATAATAGAGAGCGTTGTTTTAACTATCAATATACATACGGAAAAAGTTTCTTTTAACTTTTTATAAGTACCTTTTCT